AATGCCAAAAGCGTCCTGATATGATATGCACCTTTCCTCCTTTCCTTCCGCTTCATGCATTACATCGCGTTATCTCGGGCTTCTCGGCACCGCATTTCGGTAAGTTAGCGCCTGCTTCCTACGACGCCCTTGGTGTTTACGCATGTAAATATGAATTTATATACAAGCGCACAATATGAAGGCTAATGTAAGTATGGGCGAGCCTCTGTACTTGTCGAACGGATTCACTCGTAGTGGTGCTTTGTGCTGATATTACCGTAGCTCCTGTTTCCGTTACCTTGGCATCTCGGCTTTTCCAACTTCCGCATGGATAATTTTCCAATAAGTGACTTAACAACATTGCATTTGCTTTCATTCGATCTTCAATTCTTGTATTAAAAAACAAAATACTCTTTCAGTGTTCTTTCAGTGTCTCGCGTTGCGGCTCCTTTTGTATTATTATAAGTCTTGAATTAGATTTGAGGATGCAAGCAATTAGAAAACATTAAAAATTCTATTATTTAGTACTTTAAATTGCTTGGAAGTTTCATTAATTGAAAATTAGCATGGCTTTTCAATGAAATAGCTTAGAAAGTTACTGACTGTTTGTAATTTGCATGCAAGTTAACATTAAAGAGAGAGTGAAAGTTAATCCACCGTAACCGACGAAACTGTTTAATAGAGATGGACTATTTCCATGTTTCCTGTACTACTTGTTTGTCATTTACAACATTTTATACGATATAATAAATATACAGGTACATGTATTTTTCTCTATTATTAATAATTTCATCATTAAATATAAATTTATATATACATAAATATGTGAGTAAGCCTGTATTAAAATTAATAAGCTTTCAGTATATTTAAATGATAGAAAAATATTTGTACAATAATTAAGCATTAATTATGAAATTGTTCTATCAGACATCATGCGTATATTTTAGTTACCTTAAGTTACTGATGCAATGACATTTTAATATTATTTGTAATATCTAAAGAATAAAGCTACTGAACATTGATTGGCTTAATCGAATATATTATTCAAAGTATATATTTTTTTACTTGAAAAATTAAATTTTCATATTAATCGATTAATGCCAATAGTTTTAATTCGATTTACATTTGAAAATTCAAAATATATAAATACTATATTTTCATTTATATTATTCATATTCTGTAGAAATAAACTATCGTCCTACATTTTATGATAGATTATATACATACATATAATCAATTCAATATAAATTAAAAGAATTTTCATTATTCATCATCCCCAGAACTTTTAGAAGGAGAACATGAATATTATAATATGATACAATTTTATAAATATTAAATATTAAATATCAAAAACTATATTAACATATCATTGTTTGTTCATGTTCATAGAATATTCTGGATAAATTCAATCCTGGTGCTAGACAACTAATCAACGCCGGAAAAGCTTATTTGAAAGCGTTACATGGTAAGTTCAGATTTTTAAAAATTTTAAAAAATGCTTCTCTAATTTCATTAAATATTTAACGAAATTAAGTAGTGTAAAGCTGGTTTTCAATTTACATATTTACTTTGTAATGTAATTGTTATGCATTCATGCAATTGTAATTTAATTTCATACTTTGAAAAATACCATTTAGAGAGTTTCATTCTTTCTGTAAGCAATATGTACTGTAATACAAATAGATAATTTTTATCACTATTCAATTTGTATGAGAATTGTATTATTATTGTAAAATTAATAGTTAATATGGTATATGGTAACGTATATGGCATTGAAAATTATTGATAGTCTTAATCATTTTCGTATGACTTTATACCATATAGTTTCGTCGATGAAGAACAAACTACGAGCTACAATAGTTTCCGCATAAGATTATTACTATTATCATTATTGTTATTGTTATTTTCATTGTTATAATAATTATTATTATATTTATCGTTATCATCATCATCATCATTAAGATATAGTCACTCGTGTCTCGATTACGTTGAAATTATTATTGCCACCCCAATGCGATTTCTTATTCTTATTGGATTGTATTTGATATTCGCCGAGTCCTCCAAGCTCGTAATCAGGTCAATTTTGCATCGCGAACCCTCGATGGTGTTCGCACAGTGGGACGCGACACATCGCATTTTGTAATCTGTCTTGACGGTCGAGACAAATCTCAAGACAGCCTGATCGGTACAATGTACATGGATTCGCTATATTTACGAGTCAACTCCGATAGGCGCCCACACCCCACAAATTACGTGAACGCGTAACGGCGCGAAACCCGACAAGAGACGGCTGTGCGCGTCCGGCTTCGTTACGCTAGACAACCAACCGCGATAACTTACATGGAAAATGTCTGCTCAACCATCTCTATCATTCACGTAGGTGATGCTATAACTCAAGGACGGAGTAGCTGGAGTTTGATGTACGCGTTAGTGTTTCTTCATTGGATGACAGACGTTTTAATTGGCAAGTGGAATACTTTTTCATCGTCATCTACGAGCCATTCTTGCTCATATCTTGCTGAGAGCGGAGCAGAACAGGCGAACGAGCGCAACTTGTGCTTTATTTCTAATTTAGGGTTCAGCTTATGGAGATGTGAAACAATTATGTGAACTAACCCGATATTTATTATTAAAAAAATTGATGAATTAAAGAAAAATATAATTCTTTTCGTTTCATCGATCGACTAAATATCAGGATGAATGAAAAAAAGTCTCTAATTAATATAAAACTTATTTTACAATTTTAATGGTCCTAGCACTTGATTATTATTTACATTCGTAACGAAGGAATTTACAGTTACTTGTAATTAAAATATTTATTTTCTCTTTGTGACGATGCTATGATAATTAAGGACTTGATGTACAGATAAAACAATGTTGATTCACCGGAATATGTTTCGGAAAGTATGAGATTTATCTTGTTTTGCGAAGGTAGACAACAGCTTTTTCACGATGATCACTGCACTCGAAAGAGTAAAAGTAACGATGCCTTTCTACAAATTATACTAAAGCAGCAATTTTAGTAGAACCATAAAGCTTCGGAAACAATCTTTTTAACTGCAATGAACGCAATGATATAATCACTTGTCGAGATTTTCCCCTTAATTCCAACAAGTAAATATTGACTTTAATGTAAAGGTATTTTATAAATCTATGATCAAAATAATATTTCCACCAAATCAATAGTCATTGCATTTTTCCTTGTGTGATTTAGTTTCTTAAAGACGATTCTAAAATTTAGAAATTTTGAATGAATCTGCGTGTTCCAGCATTTTATAATTTGTAGTATTAGTCATTTAATTAAACAACAGTCTCCAAATAGTATTTAAATAGATATATTTATTTATTTAAGTTATTTGTAGAACTTACACATACATAATATATATCTATAATTAATGGAGTTTAAAAACAGATTTAAAAATTTAAAACAGAAAAAATCTTACAATCACCACTCATTTATTTTGACAATTTTTCAGTTAATGTACAACTACTAAATGATTTTTAATTTTTAATTCTTATAAAATACCTTTATTTCTTGACCTAATTAAATATATATCAAATACCTCTCTCTTTATTATTATTATAAAACGCACATATTTTAATTACAGAATATTATCAAATACTTTTTTATGTAGGCAATAGATTCATCATATGCTAATAAGGAAAATTAAATTCTTTTGAAACATTATGATAATAATAAATATTCTTCTGTTTTGATATTCATGTGTAAATATCTCGACTCAAATTTATTCATTCAAAATGACCTTCATTTATATATGTAGAAACAGACTAATAAAGACGTCATTTAAATCTTAGTGTAAGAAATTTTTCGGCATTCTGTTTTTGATAAAAGAATATATTATTTTCGCGTAAAAAAGAGAAAATATAATATTTAATTGAAAAAAAGTCTTCTTTTTAATAAATTTTGCTTCTATAAAGTATTAGTTTATTTCAAACTATCAATGTCCGAGTTAGGTTTTCAACTCCAACGAAATTACTTAAGAATAAATTAAGAATAAATTGAAATGTTTACAAAAGTATTTAATTCTCCTAAGCCCTTTAAACACTATTCATCAAAATGTTAAAATATAAATATTATAACATTAGTTTACGTTAAACGTAAGAGATAAGATTTTACTATTCATTGATTAAGAATCTATAAGATAATAAAACTACTTTGAAAATACTATGCACGGATGTTTTAAATAATTATAAACGAAAAATTTATTATAAATTTTTTAATGAAATATTGTTAAGTTATGAGTTATTAGTTAGATTCATCTCTATTTGCTTTATATGTATAAAACAAAACATTTTGCATGATATATATATATATATATATATATATATATATATATATATATATGTATAAATCGATTGATTAATAAAAATAATATCAAAAGAAAAGCATTATTCATTTAATCGATATATTATAAATTCTTTAATAATAATTTTTTTCATAATATCTATTTTCTCATTCGAGTTAATTATAATTTTATTAAAAACATAAATAAACTCACAATTTAACATATAATTATGTAATGGTATTTTACTGTTGATATTTATCAAAAATTCAATAAAACGAAATATTTTTATTAATAAATATTTTAAGGTCTTATATTAATTGTAATAAAACTGCATACGATGAATTATTAAAATAAGTTCCTATCATGATTTATTAAATGAGATACTAAAATGTATATAGCCACTTCGTTTTTAATTTAATTTACATAGCTTTCAGTCCCTATACGTTACAAATTACGGAATACTTTTGATAAAGGAAAAGCATTAAAATATGTAATTATTTAACTGTATTATATGATATTTTTTAACTTTTTGAAGTGTAGATTATTATAGAATTGAAAGTTTTTTTACATAACGATCATATTACAATAATATTTATTTTAGAAATCATTAAATCAATGCTCATTCGGTACGGGAAAGATTCTTTTGCTCCCTCGTCAATCAAATTGACTATAGATTTCGAGCTATTTCAACGGCACTTGTATTTTTAAATCAAATACTATTGTTCACAGAGATTAAAAACACAAATGTGCCTTTGATCCATGAAAAGCGATAATCGATTAAATTAATTGTTTGCTAAATTTTTAACCCAAACTAGCCAAAATATCGACAAAGAGATTACATGGCAAAAATCCTTTTAGTTCACGAAATTGAACGTAAATCTAACTTTTACCACTATCGCGGTAACGAACATCCAGCCATAAATATCTCGAATCCACTTAAATGCGTTTCGATGGCTGATCACGCACGTATGCCATTCATTTAGAAATCGAGGCAAATTGTCAAAGCCTCTCTGAAGCTCTTGTGGACGAGAAGCGAAAAAAAGGAGACGCATTTGGCAAGATTACGAGACACGGCGCTATTTATGGTGCAAGCATTTCTTTAACTACGCGATCTCGCACCCTGAAATCTCGTATACATTGCAAACATCGGAGCTCCCGGTATCGTCGGAGACAAGGGATTTATGGTGGCCGGCACCGGGGAATCCCGTAACAACACCAGGGAATCACACAAGCCTATGTTCAACTCAATGTAATGTCTGCACTCGTGAGATTTTACTTTCATTTGTTTCAAGTGTTCTACTTAATAGCCCTTTCTTTAATAGTTTCTTGGTAAAATTATTTTTTTTGTCGTACGAAATGCTTTATTACTATAAAGCGTTGCGTTATAATTCCATTTAATGTATTATCATGTTGACAAATATATTTCTGTAATAATAATCGTTGAGATGCTTTTATTTTTAGATTGTTCATTAGTATTTCCGAATACCACTTAATACAATACAATACATTCAACTACAGTTATATGCTTACAGGTTATTACCTAGATTAATTATTTATCCGTACTTTGATTTATTTTTAATATAATAAAAATTCCAACTATATTTTGTTATTTCAATTATTTCTTATCGTATTCATAATATTTACATATAAATAATTGGCAACTGTATCGTGTATTAAAAAAACAATTCTTTTTTATATAATAGTTCTTCTTCCATCGAAACATGAAACACCATAGATGCTCAATCTGTAATTGTCTTTATTCCCCTTTCCGTGCTCGAGAGAACTACTCTCTTGCATCAGTTAACTAATATCCAGAAATGCCTCGTTCTTCATATATATATTCGAATTAACTTCTGTAAACACTTGCTGACAGTATATATAGTAGGTATCCCTTTATTTATGCCTTTTCACTACATTATTAGGCGTGAATACGCAATAAAGGGAGTATGGCATGATATTCGCTAGTTTCATTTTATTGTTGAAACATAGTACCAAAGCACGAAAATTAATTCAAATGCTTTATTTTTCATTCCATTTTCTTATATTTCGTAAAATATGCACATTTTTTTCACCAAGTTTTTGTACCTATATTCGCAGATATGCTATATACTATAACATTCTTGTATGGTTGAATAAATGGCTGTGGCATTATATAAAT